TAATTACACAAAATTGGAACACGCTTCCAAACATATAAGCTCTATAGCTATCACAAGTAAGCAATCAAAACGAGCCTCTGTGCTCCATCCAATTTTCTACATTCTTGTTAACAGGGTGGAATTACATCATCTTGACCTGAAATGTTATTTATTATAGGAATGAGCAAGATTTCCTAGTAGAAGTACATTTAACAAGGTATATAAACATTTGATAGAAGTATGATCATGCCAATGTAATATCATGCCCAAAATCAATATCTTTGTTTCTTAACAAAAGAATGATGCATCAATGCACTTTTATTCCAAAAACAACCCAATATCAAATATGGGGTAGTAAACGCGCACTAGAATCCCAAAGTATGAGTCAAATACGTAATATATAGGTTTTATATATCAAAATAATCCTACATTTACCGACTCAAATATGAAAGGGCAGTTGGGCACCTAAAACAAACATTTTTCCACATTTACTGGCATCAAGCACGAAAAGGCCATTGGGTACCCAGAAAATATCAATTTTCACATTTATTTGGCATCAAGCACGTAGTAAGGCAATTGGACACCTTGACTTCCCGCGCAGTTGCCAATATAATACACAACACATTTCTCAAAACCGACTTACTAGCCAGATTACTATGCCATTTACCCCCTTTCAAATATTCCAACATCTAAAACAACAAATCAACATGAATCAAAAGCCATGAAGTGCAATGTGATGCATGAGTGTGCAAAATATAACACTTTGCCTAAAGTTCCATTTAACTTTAAAAGAATTAGACATTATAATATTTGTAGAGAACCTTAGTCACGATTTTATTGCCTTCAAGAACTTCCATGGCCATCCATCATTACAACAAAATTCTCAAAATTCATGTCATCTCAAGATTTTCAAAATATATCCATTTAATATCAACTCAACATCCTCATAAATATCAATTTATTCTGCAATCCCTCTTTTAAAACCAAGATCACAAACTATGGTTTAGCAAAATTTGGGGGTTTCCTCATTTCTTTCATAATCGAAGAATCCTCAAGCAATTAACTATTTTTACACAAAGACGAAAAATATTTCAAGTATTTGAGTGAAACCCCATTTTCAAACACCAACACCTCTTTAATCAAACTCATTTATCTCATACATCATTATATCTAAGAAATTACCACGTATTCATGTCAAAATATAGATATATAAGGTTAAAGGTATTCCTACATCAAGATAGAGAGTGGGGTTGAAGACCCAAACTATGATGACGATGAAATTATGATCCAATCGGTCCAAAACATAGTCCTTGACGTGCTCTAACTTTTCTCCTCAAGAACTAGGGGTTGATTTTGCCCCTAAGTAGATGAAACCCAAGCTTGAAGTTCAAAAAATGGAGGCATGAAAGAGAGAGTGTGTGCCAGTGAAAGAGAGAGAGAGAGAGAGTGGAAAAAGTAAGGCAAAAAGTAAGAGAGATATAGTGTGCACTTGATCACTCCAGACCAGACAGTGTCGACACCAAAAGGGGGGGGTGTCAGCACCCGTAAACGACAAGTCAAAGAAGAAAGGAATGAGAGCAAGTGCCGACACCCAAAACAATATTTGAAGGTTCTAAAGCATATTTTTGATAGATCTAAACAAAATTAAACATCCAAATCAAAGTATAGATCAGATTTTTCACTCAACCAACATCAATACACAGCAACCATGGGTTTTCACTAACAAAATAATGGAATTAAATACATGCCAAGGACTTATAAACCACAAGAGTTGCACATAATTTTCCCAAAAAGATTATGTGGTGACTCTTGAGTCTGGGTGACGTGGTCCTTATTTGTCATTTCTCATGATTTGTGGATTTTTCTATGGACTTGCTAGATTCAAACCCTCATTTACCTCACATTGCACACTTGTGAGCAAGGCCGAGAGGGTTTTTAACTGTGAAGGAGCTTAGGGAGCTCCCCTTTTCCCGTAAGAGATCCCACAATCATGAAATAGAAACCTTCATTCCATCTATAAAATGCAGAGAATGTGGATTCATTATTTTATAAAATATTTTGAATACAAATTTTATCTATATAACATTGTCCTAAAAATAAAGACTTGCCTTATATGAAAAATAAATAAAAAGAAAAGAAGAAAGCTATTATCACATCATTTTGATATTTGTTTATGATTTTCCATAATGTGTAACAATCTTCTCCCTTTGTGATGGTACTATTAAATAATCAAAACAAGCACATTCCTCCTAGTTTAGAGAAATTTTGTTTCTAATCTAAAAATGTGTAATCATGTTAATTGTTTCAATTATGAGTTTATTCAAAGTAGAAACCCTACATCATGTCTCCATTAATGCAATAATTGTTTGAATTAAGTTCACCCAAACGAAGAGCAAAAACGTAAACCCATTTGATAATAAATTATTTGATGGTATTGGAATAATATTTTATATTATTCAATATGTGATACTAGTCCATTTGTCTCTAAATGGTAACACAAAAGTAGATAATCACATGGTTTAAAACCAAAAAATAATAACAATAATAAGTTGGGGACAACTCGCGGCTAAGAAGTACGGACACTTACAAGAACGTGATGTATTCGTATCGTGTCTGTATCGGACAGTGACACTTTTTGGACACTTTCCCGACACGTGTTCGACGTTCTTCAAAATGTGTCCTATTTTTTTTTTAAAGACTCGGTCACTCTCTGAATAGTTGAAGGACACATATGTCTATCGTTTAAAAACAGATTAGAGACAAGTGTAACTAATTATAAGTTTAAATAAAACAATTTAAGATATAATAATAAAACAAAAAACAATATAAATTTATAAGACTTAGTGTCGTATTACATTTTTTTATTATCTTTGAATGATATATTCATATATATATAATATAATAAATATATAAAATTATATTTTATGATAAATTGCCACATATTCATATCAAAATATAGATATATAAGATGTTCTTACCTCAAGAAAGATAGAGAAGGGTTAAAGACCTAAACTTCAACGATAACGAAAACGCGATCTAATCGGTTCCAAACGTAGCCATTGACGTGCTCTACCTTTTTCTCTCAACCTTTTTTCCCTCAAGGACTAGGGGTAGATTTCATCCCTAAGTAGATGAAACCCAAGCTTGAAGTTCAAAAAATGGAGGCATGAAAGAGAGAGTGTGTGCCAGTGAAAGAGAGAGAGAGAGAGAGTGGAAAAAGTAAGGCAAAAAGTAAGAGAGATATAGTGTGCACTTGATCACTTTAGACCACACAGTGTCGACACCAAAAGGAGGGGGTGTCAGCACCCATAAACGACAAGTCAAAGAAGAAAGGAATGAGAGCAAGTGCCGACACCCAAAACAATATTTCAAGATTCTAAAGCATTTTTTGATAGATCTAAACAAAATTAAACATCCAAATCAAAGTATAGATCAGATTTTTCACTCAACCAACATCAATACACAGCAACCATGGGTTTTCACTAACAAAATAATGGAATTAAATACATGCCAAGGACTTATAAACCACAAGAGTTGCACATAATTTCTCCAAAAATATTAGGTGGTGACTCTTGAGTCTGGTGACGTGGTCCTTATTTGTCATTTCTCATGATTTGTGGATTTTTCTATGGACTTGCTAGATTCAAACCCTCATTTACCTCACATTGCACACTTGTGAGCAAGGCCGAGAGGGTTTTTAACTGTGAAGGAGCTTAGGGAGCTCCCCTTTTCCCGTAAGAGATCCCACAATCATGAAATAGAAACCTTCATTCCATCTATAAAATGCAGAGAATGTGGATCCATTATTTTATAAAATATTTTGAATACAAATTTTATCTATATAACATTGTCCTAAAAGTAAAGACTTGCCTTATATGAAAAATAAATAAAAAGAAAAGAAGAATGCTATTATCACATCATTTTGATATTTGTTTATGATTTTCCATAATGTGTAACAATCTTCTCCCTTTGTGATGGTACTATTAAATAATCAAAACAAGCACATTCCTCCTAGTTTAGAGAAATTTTGTTTCTAATCTAAAAATGTGTAATCATGTTAATTATTTCAATTATGAGTTTATTCAAAGTAGAAACTCTACATCATGTGTCCATTACTGCAATAATTGTTTGAATTAAGTTCACCCAAACGAAGAGCAAAAACGTAAACCCATTTGATAATAAATTATTTGATGGTATTAGAATAATATTTTATATTATTCAATATGTGATACTAGTCCATTTGTCTCTAAATGGTAACACAAAAGTAGATAATCACATGGTTTAAAACCAAAAAATAATAACAATAATAAGTTGGGGACAACTCGCGGCTAAGAAGTACGGACACTTACAAGAACGTGATGTATTCGTATCGTGTCTGTATCGGACAGTGACACTTTTTGGACACTTTCCCGACACGTGTTCGACGTTCTTCAAAATGTGTCCTATTTTTTTTTTAAAGACTCGGTCACTCTCTGAATAGTTGAAGGACACATATGTCTATCGTTTAAAAACAGATTAGAGACAAGTGTAACTAATTATAAGTTTGAATAAAACAATTTAAGATATAATAATAAAACAAAAAACAATATAAATTTATAAGACTTAGTGTCGTATTACATTTTTTTATTATCTTTGAATGATATATTCATATATATATAATATAATAAATATATAAAATTATATTTTATGCGTGTCTCTCACGTGTCGTGTTCTGCATTTTTTAAAATGAACGTATCAATGTATCCGTATCGTACCCGTATCGTATCGTGTATTTGTATCCGTATCTATACTTATTAGATCCATGGTCTTGCTTGAGAGCATTAACGAATAGGAAAATTATTTGATACTTAAGGAGCACCATGTGATTCATACTACCAAGCAATCACCAAACACATAGCCCGTGCTATGCTATTTCCTGTGCTCCGAACAAAAAAATCAAGACTGCCACCATTTTATCAATCACCAATTAAAACTTCGGAGATTCCAACACCTGAGGCATGGAATAACTTGTGCAATTAATCTCAGTGAGCTCCATCCATGTCTCTGTACATGGAAATCGGTTCAAAACTACTCACACTTGTTTGGGGATTTATTAATCCCGAGGTCCCTAACCCTTCTTCCACAAGTCTTGCTCCGACATATTGTTTCACCACCAAAACCGAAACATTGGATGAAAAGTCCGATGTCACCAAAAGATCCCCTATAGTCCCTAGCTCCGGGCACTCGCTCCATAAATCTAGCCCCTCCGTCAACCAGGACGAGAACCCTGCCCTTCTTCCTACTACAAAAAGATCATAACCTTGACTCACTAATTTTATGGTCTGCACTGTTTCTGACCCATTACTTACTTCCTTTTCCAAATACATAATTGATCTGTCACCTGTTGTCCTGTGCCTGAATTCGCTGATGAAACTTTCATCCAACCGCATTTCAGCGTCAACATCTATGGTTTCGGTGATCGAAACCTTCTTGTCCTTGTCCTTGTCCTCATTGTCATCTTTTTCATTATCCTCGTCCTTGTCCTCTTCATCCTCATCATCATCATCGGTGTCCTCTATGAAGTCCGCAAGCTTTAAACCCACATCATGTTTGCTCTCTACAAATCTAACAACAGTTAGGGTAATGTTTGGATGCCCTGCCATCTTTCGAGCATAACATAAGGCCTCTCTATCATCGGGGCCTCCAATGTAGAGCATGGCGATATGTCGCATCATGGCTTCAGCATCGATCTCTGTGAGAGACCCGAAGCCGCGGTCAACCAATATACCAACAGAACAAGGGCTATTGAGCAAGACATCGTCGTTGACATCTTTGTAAGCATGGTGTATGTCTTCCATTTTGTTATGGATAGTGAGGCGTTGGTGAAAAGGAAGGATGATGAGGGTAGCGCCTTTGTCCTCCGCGATGCTGCAGATATCTTCATGCATGGTGGTGTAAGAGGACACGACTGTCATTGGCTGGACTGAGACACCACTGTGTTGTTCCTCTAACCTTTCGAAGCCATCAAGGATACGAGCAGCAATAGCATTTTCGTAGCTGTTGTTCTTTTGGGAATTGGAGCGGGTTGGGCCATGGACAATGAGCAAGGCAGTGGTGTGTCCGGTGAGTTGGACGAGTTGGAGGGCAAAGACGGTGATAGGGGACCTCCTGGAAGGGTTAGAAGCTTGGAGGATGTTGATGACACCGGAAACAGAGTGAGACTCGTGGAGACATACTACTATTCGGAGCTCTGCATCTGGTTTGAGTGTTTGGATGGCCCTGTGCTTGTTGTACAAGAAACGCTTTGTGGGCTTGTAAAGGATGCTCATGATGGGTTGTGTCGCCATTGTCATCAACAGAATTGAAATCATCATCACAGTAAATGCTTCGTCTTCCAACACCTGCACTCACTCAATAACATAACTACATTAATTTCACATGTACAATCTATATATGCATAAATCATACTGAACTGAACGTATGTGATAGATATGTTAATTACAAACTATGAATTTTAAATTTTAATGATGTGTTCATAAGTTGCATATATATTGAAATTTAAAACTTCATTTCAAGCTTCTAATAAAGGGGATATTAATCTGGTTTGATTAACTAGAACAATCCAGATATGCACATAATAAGGATATAGAACTCTCCAACAAATTCATAACATATTAAACTGTAATGAGGAATGTTATGTAATTTATAATGTGTTCAAAATTTGAATTTAAATTATGTATTTATATACTTTTTTGGGTAAACTACTAATAGGTCATAATAGTTGGATTTAATTTCCATCAAGTCCTATTGAAAATTGATGCAGTGCTGATCGAACTAAAATTTATAATTAATGACATTTTGTGTGACAAAATTTTCAAGCTGTCACTGAAAAGTAACAACTAGTAATGTTTTTTTATGGTGTTTGATGAAAAGTGCCTTTAATTATCATAAGACTTGTTAAACTATACACTTATTAGAACTTATACGTAAGTCCCTTACATTTACATTTTTTGAGAACATAATATTTCTACTAGGAAGTGACAGAGATAACTTATGGTAAGAAAAAAAATAAAAAAATAACAGCAATGCTAGGTATCATGAAAAATCTTTCATAAAAATGGTCATGAAAGATTTGTGACCTTTGGATTACACTTACAATAAAGCACCACACACTAATCAAGGTAATCTAAGGATCACAAATTTTTCATGATGATTTTCATGAAAAAATTTTCATGATCCCCAATATTTCTCAAAAAATAAAGTACTTACCATACGGTCACGCCCATAGTTGATAACTATAAGAGCCAAAAGGCCTTTGGTATTCATCAGTACTCCAAGAGCCATCCCATCCCTAAGCGGCATGCCAAAGAAGAAGGATATGGCAAGAGTGCTTACAACCTTGCACAGGCAAGCAAAAGTCATAGTTAACCCAACCATGTACCAGGTCGAACTTATCCCAATAGAATCAAAATTGGTTCGGAACCCACTAATCGCAAAGAACACCGGCATCAAAAAATCCTCCACAAAACCCCGAAACACCTCCACAAATCTCGGACCAAGCAATCCACTCGGTATAATAAGTCCGAACACAAATGCACCAACTAGAGAGTTGGTTCCCAACAGATCTGTGGTTAACCCACATGCCAATACCATGACGAGAATGACACAAATAGTCTCGTCATTGTGGTATCCTCCTTTTTGGGACTGGCTAAGTTTCCATATGATGATTGGGCGGATAGCAAAAGTACAAAATAACACAAAGCCAATCGTTCCTAGCAATACCAAGAGGTATTTGTCCTCACTATTGCCTAGCGCCACCACCACTGTTAGAAGAATCCATGAAAACATCTCATTGACAAGAGCTGAGGACATAGCTGTTTTTCCAATATCAGTATAGAGAAGCTTCAGCTTTGTGAGGATTTGAGCAATGACAGGTAAGCCTGTGACAGTCAGAGAAACACCCCAAACAATGCATCCCAACTGGAACACGTTTTCAAGCTCTGGAAGGAAAAGGTAATACAAGGCCACACCAATGGCGAAGGGAACAATAGTTCCAGTAAGGGCAAAGGTAAAGGCCTGCCTCCTGACTCGTGAAATTGTGGTTAAGTCTATCTCCAACCCAAGGAGGAACAAAAAGTAGATGAGACCTATGTTTCCCATTGTCTCTAAGGTCATCACACCAGATACAGAGAAAGCAGCTTTAAAAAATGCACAATTTCTGCTTATCCTCCCCATAATAGATGGACTCATCAAGGCACCAGCCTGCAAACATAAATAAATAAATAAAATAACCAAAAGTGTGTGCAAATGCACTGTTTTAACTCCTCCTCCTACTATTTTTTTTCAGATCAAACAGTAATATAAACATCTAGAAATTTTTCAAAAAACAAAGTATCCTAGTGTGGCAGCAACATTGCATTCATTATGGTAAAGTGCGAGTCCTATTTAGAATAATGCAATATTTTCACGTTGTCAACACTGTATATGTTTTGGATATTTTGGTAAAAAGGTTATGTAAGATATTCTCAAGGTTGTCTTTAGTTACAAATCGAATGTAACTGTAAATTCTTTCAAATTGTTATTAGAAAAGCATGGCAAGGTTTAAAAATATAAGGGAAGTTTGTAGCAACTATGGAAACCTTTTTTGTAGTGAACTCACAATGATCTCGGGTACAATCCTGGGTTGACGGAAGGGTCTGAGGATGAAGATGAGTAAGCGGGTAAGAGAAGTAATGATGATGAGTTGCATGATGAAGATGGGAAGGGAATGCGATACAGGGTCTTGTTCTTGCCAAATACCCGTGTGGTTGCCCGTCAGTATTTTTATATCATAACATTGGTAGGTTTCACCTGCTCTAAGACCCCAAAATGGGGTTGCATCTGTCTGGTTCAAGAAATGTGGGTTAACCATTGCTACTTCCTTTTAATCTTTCTTTTCTCTCCTCTACCTCTCCTCTTTCCAAGGCCACAGTCAAGATAACAACCTCTGCCGCCTTGGAAAAACCCTAGAGGAAATATGAGAGAGAGAGAGAGAAGAAGAAGAAGAAAGAATGAATTGATCAAAGAAAACAATGAGACAAATGAATTGATAAACAGGCCAATGAAAGTTTGTCCAATCTATTTGGGGGTGTGGATTTGATGTCTGTATAGTTTCTCCATCACTAATAATGGGTTTGGTTTGGTTAAGATTTGTAATCCATAAGCGTATATAACTTTGAATCCCTCCCATGCATGCAAGGTTTCACACCATTTTTAGGTAGGTTTTATTATAAAATCACAATATTTTAACAAAATTTCTATATAGAATGTTGTCAATGTGTGTTGTCCTTTTATTTTAGGCCAAAACATTCATTACCCATTTTGAATCATGATTTCAAAACAACAATGATAGAGACCACTAATTTTGGAGCTCTAAAAAGACTACTAATGACATGGCACTCAATAAAAAAAGAAAAAAAATACAACACCAAGGCCAAAACATCAAATCATTCCTGATGGGGCCCACTGCCACATCATTAGTGATAACACTAATTAGTGCTCTCACTCATTTTCCATTTAAAAATTAGCTGTCACGTTGATGAAATTTCTATAATAAAGTTTTTGTTTGAATATAGATTAATTTTCTTTTGATTACCAAATCTTATATCCTTCCTTATGCCATCTTCCATGTAGTGCCTAGTTTTTCTCCACTTGATACTCTGACACTCCAATTAATTGGAATTTCAACGATTGGATTAAAATTCGGATGAGCTGGTCTCCGATCCCACAAAGGATTAAAATTCGGAGCTCATGAGTACACCACGTGTCGTATTGTGGTAAATCAGTTCTTAATTTTTTTGGCCCAAGTGCGTACATATAGGTGGTGTTTGTTTTTAAGGATTGGATCATATGATTAGATTATTAGTCCATCTGGATTAATAGTCCGTTATTTGGTTCAGATATTTTTTTTTCGGATTAATAGTCTCTCCGAATTATTAGTCACTCATATGAGGGATTATTGTATTCTAAGGGGGTGAGATTATTTCTATGGGATTGGTATTCTATAGAACTAATATGTGAATGTCCATTTTATCCTCATGTTATTACTTAATAAACAATTGAAAAAAGGTAAAATAGTCTTTTGAATATTTATAAATTATATTTTTAGTGTTATTAATTTAAAATTATATATTAAATAAAAAATATAAATTATAAATTCATTGTAATTAAAAATAATAAATTAAAAATTATGACCTTATAAATAAAATGATAAAATAGTCTTTTGAACATTTACAATTTTTTTTAGTGATGTTAATTTAAACTTATATATTAAATAAAAAATATAAATTATAAGTTAAATTTAATTAAAAATTATGGCGTTATAAATTAAATTTTTTTAGTGTTGTGAAAAAATTAAATTTATATATTAAATAAAATTATTTTTTTAATGTTGTTAATTTAAAATTATAAATTAAATAAAAAATATAAATTATAAATTTAATTTAATTGAAATAAATTAAAAACTATGGCCTTATAAATTAAAATTTTTTAGTGTTGTTAAATTATTAATTATAGATTACAAATTTAAAATTATATATTAAATAAAAATTATAAATTACAAGGGTAAAATAGTCTTTTAAACATTTATCCTTATCCAGTCCGTTCAATCAAATATTAGATTTACTAAAAATAATCAAATCCAGACATCTAGTCCCACTACAAGAATTTACACTTTTGGCAATAAAAGTATTTTAGTCACCAAAAGTATCATATTTGGTGACTAAAAAATTTATTAGTCGGCGTTGGTTTAGGATTTAGCTACTCAAATTTTTTAGTCGACAAATATTAATTATTGGCGACTAAATTTTAGTTTTAGTGGGCAAAAAGTTTGCTTTTGGCGACTAAAAATCGTATTAGTCGCCGTAAGACTATATTTTAGGCTACTAAATTGTTTTTAGTCGTAATATATTATGTTTTGCCGAGAAAATAAATTTTAGTCGCCAAATAATAAGCATATTCTTATGGTAACTCTTTGGCGACCAAAAAAATTAGTCGGCATTTGTTAACTTTTACCGACCAAAATTATATTTAGTCACCAAAAATACTTTGGGCGACTAAAAAGTTAGTCGCCGTTAATTTATCTTTGGCTGCAAAATAGAATAGTGGGGATATATATTGCATTTGCCGACAAAACATTGATTTAGTTGCTAAAAATGGTAAAAGTTTAGGGAGGGAACCATTTTTTGTTACCCGCGCTTCCTCTGTTAGACAAAAAGAATATTCAAACTCTCTCACACCCAGACTGTCTCACCACCAAACCTCACATGAAATCACTTCATCGCAGCCCCACTGTACGGAGGAAGTCGGCATGGTCACTGCCACCACTGAAAATCACCACCGCCATAGACGCAGATCGCAGGTGCTCTCTCTCACTCTTTTCAGCTCGCTCTCTAGCTCTCTAGCTCTCAATCTGTCTGTGTATGTCTCTCTCTCTCTCTCTCTCTCTCTCTCTCTCTTTCTCTCTCTCTCTCTACCATCATCTGTTTTCCCCTTTTCTGATTGTAGATTTAGGGTTTAATTTCGTGTTGATTTAGACTGTTCCACAGTTTCCTCCTTTCTGAAACCCAGATCTGTTGATTTAGGGTTTTACTTAGTTAATTAGCTGCACATTTTATGGATTCCTCATAAGCTTGCATGTTGAAATAAGAAAAAAAATTGCAGAAATACTTGTTTCCTAGATGACTACACTATTAGCAATACTTGTGCTGATTGATATACAAAATAGAGCATGTTAATCTTTATTCAATAGTGCAGCAGCATCACAAACAATGTTTTCACAAACAATTTATTTCTTAGATTGCCTACTCATGAGTGTATTGTTTGATTCACTTTTTTGTTTGATTCTTTTGTATTTTCACTTGTGAAATACTCTGTTTTTGGAACCCCTTTTAGATTGTTAATCATTTCTTTGTTGAATTTCAACTTGGATTGAACCTCAGAGATAATTTCTTGATCTCGGTTATGCGATTATTGGTGAAAACAAAATTGAAAACAAGAAAAAAACCCCCAAGAAACTAAGGGACCCTAATTTGGCCATTCGTTTCAATAGGCCTCTGAATTTTATCTTCTATGTATTAGTGTGTTAGTAAATTTGTATACATAAATTAATTCTCATATTTGTTTAAAGATTTGATGACGAGGGTTTAGAATTGTACAATTTGAATCACTATATCTCGTCCAAATAAATTCAGGTTATGTTTAGATTGAAGTATTTCAAATGAACGGATTTAATGTTGAATTATATATATATATATATATAAACACTCTTGCCCAAATATATGAGTTTATTGTTGTTAATTTCATTGTTTTTTCAGACAAAGGAAAGGATAGTCAAGGTGAACTTGTTGGTTACTTTGAACTTGTTATAAAGGTATATACGAGCTCTAAAATGTTCCACTAGTTTATTTACTACTTCTGATTTAGTTGAATCTTGATATTAATTAGATGTATCCACAAGGAAGGATGTCCTACCATTTTCGAGAGATGCGTGAAGATGATTACCTAACTGTGAAGGGACCCAAGGTAAATTTTCTTCCTCTTTTTGGCATAATGGTAGTTGGAATATGGATTATTATTGTAATGTGAAACAAAAATGAGAACTTGATATTGCACTTGTTATAAATGTGTGATGTCTGATAGCTTTTGGAAAACATAGTATGCTTTTGGAAAACTTAGTTGTTGGAACCATCATATGACTTGTTATTGCTTTTTCAAGTGTTGAAATGGTGTAGAGGCAATGTGTCATATTATTGAAATTGATACCTAAAGGGACCAATGACACTTAATGCTGAAATTATGGATTAAGAACCCAAGAAACTCAAAAATTAGTGGTAGGTAGATAATAGTTAAGTAAAGCAATTTATTAATAATAATAATGAACATGGCATAGTCAAGCTTTGTTATGTAATTTGCCCATAAGTTAGGCAATGACATTTTTTGAATTTGAAGGGCTTTAATTGACAAATTTACAATATCATGTTGGTTTTGCAAGCATATTTTGTAACTAATATGGAGCCAATCAAGTTTTGGGAGTTTGTCTCACTTGTTCTTAAAGGTCTTGTTCTTGTCTTTTCTAGGTAGCAGCACTTGAACAAGTTTTGGGAGTTTGAGACTACTTTTTTTTCTTTAAAAAGTTGTATTGACATCTATATATTTTATATATCATTTGATTTGGCTCCCATTGATTAATGGATATGACTAGCATTTACATGCTGTAATACCTCTGTTCTGTAATACGTTAATTGGTCCTTAACATGATGTGATTATGTGTTTTGATATGATTTTGTGTTCCATTATGTGAAAATATGTGGTTTTGAAGTTCTATCTGTTCATCGTAGGAATATCTGTTGAATAATCTGCCTTGGGAATTAAATTGAGGGCCCTATCGGCCACAGAACCCAAAATTGACTACGCCTTTGTGATTAGCGTGATTTTTAGAGTCTATGGTGAAATTTAATTAGAAATTGATTCTGGTCAGATTAAATTGATTCATTTAATGGCATTGTGCTTAAATTGTTTAATATTCTTAAATTGGGACTTAGTGAGATTTGTTGGATAGGAGAATGGGCCAGAGGCCGTTTTGACACGAAAGTGTAAATAGGCCTAAGGGCCAGTTTGATATGAAAGTTTGAGAAGGCTGCAGGCCAGTTTGACACGAGTAATAGTTTGACAATGAAACGAATGAATTGGGCCCGAGGCCGTATGATGTGTTTGGAACCTCAGTTGCTTAACTCACATGTGTCTATGTATGTATATACTAGTTAAAATGTAAATTGGGCCCAAGGCCGTTTGGAACATGTTGTTCTACATTGCTATGTAACTTCTGTATTTGATTTGATATTATTCACTGGGCTATCGCTCACGTTCATTCATATGTTTGTAGGTGAGCCAAGAGAAGTCCAAACCCAGCCCCAGTGAAGTCTACCAGGAACAACACGAGTTTTGAAGAGTCAGCCTTGCGTCTCACGCACGAGACCCACCCTTGCCATTTTGTTTGCATTCATAGTTGTCTTGTTGGCAAGGACTTATGTATATCCGTATATAGTTTTGATATGGGTTGACTCAGTTTAGATGATCCTGTCTGTAAAGTTTTTATGGTACTGTAATTTGTTTGTGGGTTATTAACATATACGTGTATGTTTTGCTTGATGTGCATGTAAGCACAACTCTATGGACAAAGTTTTAAATTTTGCTTCCCTATTGGCCCCTTTACTCTGATGTGTTAAGTCTGTTTTGGTTTGAGGCCGTAGGTAATCTTAGGATTACTGGCCGGTTACGTCCTTAACCCATGGGGGCGGGTTCGGGTCGCGACACATGCACTGCTTTGGTACTTTCCCTTGTTCATTTTCAGGATCTTACAAATATGTCTTCATCCAATATGCCTTCAAGTTCCCCATTATTAAGTGTAAAATTTTAAAAATTTTAAACTTTTCTAGTTGAAACAGTAGCCTGCTAAATATAGATGTTAACCATCACACTATATTTGCAAAAGGAATCACGAGACAAAATAAAGCTTTGTTAACATCATCAAGAGGGCTTCTTTAGTACCATTTTCATGGGGATAGGTAGAATTTGGGACACTGATTAGTTGCAACATTAAATTATTTTTCCATTAGAGCAACTTTACTATTTTCATTCTCATAGAGTTTGTATAATGATATTTTTCTCTCTATCCAGGCAAAGAGGAGTTGTGTCAAGTTAGATATTTATAGAAAGTTCTCAAATGCATTAGCAAGAACAGTGATTGCTTCAGTTGCTTGGATAGGATATGAGGTATGCTTCTAACGAGTAGACTCTACTTCTAATTTTGATGGGCAATAACATTGGTCTAATTTTATTTATTAAAATTCATTTTCATTTTCATTTTCATAAATAGACACAAGCAGAAATCCTAACTACTTAGAGAAGATTACTTGAGTGCTTAATTATTATGTTATGATTAAAGTGTTCCTCAGTGCCTCATGAATAATAAAATTAGTTTGACATGGGCAGTGAATATATTTGTAGTAACTATTTAAGCATCTTCTTTCCAATTTTTCAAAACTCAATTAATAAGCATTCTTTTGCTCATCTTGCTGTCCATCTGTTACTCTAGGTGGTGGTTCACGGTTTTTTATTTGAAGTTTATGTTCATCTTTGTGTCACTGGACTCCTTCTTAATCTTTTTCAAAACTCAACTATATATGGTTTAACATAAATCTTCACAAGTTGTTGTACAAGCTGTGCTACTAATTCCGACCGGTAGGTTGTGAGAGCCGAACCACCGTGTGTCTCTCACGGATAGCTTCCCCTTGAAAAATAGGACTTGTGACAACTGACGGAATGTAATTCGGACCCGTAGGTTGGGAGTTAGAGCCGAAAACGCTTTAAACTTAGTCGAAAAAGGGTGTTCCGGGGGTGAAAATTTAAAACAGCTCCTGAACCACCATGTGGCTATCACGGACAACTTTTCCATGACAATTAGGACCCGTGACAACAGACGTAATGTAATTCAGATCCATAGGTTGGGAGTTAGAGCTGAAAATGTCTTAAACTTATTTGAAAAATGGCATTTCGGGGTCGAAAATTCAAAACAACCCCTGAACCACAGTATGGCTATCATGAACAGCTTGCCCATGACAAATAGGGCTTGTGACAATAGACGGAATGTAATTCGGACCCGTAGGTTGGGAGTTAGAGCCGAATACGCCTTAAACTTAGTCGTAAAAAGGCGTTTCAGCGGTGAAAATTCAAAACAGCCCCCGAAACACCATGTGGCTCACACGAAAAGTTTTCCCATGAAAAATAGAACTTGTGAAAATTGACGGAATGTAATCCAGACCCGTAGGTTAGGAGTTGCAGCCGAATACACCCGAAACTTAGTCAAAAAAGACCTTTCCGGGGGCAAAAATTCATAACAGCCCCCGAACCACCGTGTGACTCTCACGGACAGCTTCCCCATGACAAATAAGACTTGTTTGTATGCATGTATCTATGTAGGTTTCCAGTCCCTCAAAAAATGGCCATGGAAAATAGCAATCTAAAACTAGTTCCAAAAAAAAAAAAAAATAATAGTCCAAAACATATTTGAGATTGGAAAATAGTTATGGGATCATTGTCACAGTAAAAACTTCGAAAGATCAACACCATATTTTTATTTCCCTCCCTCCCTCACTCCCTACACCTCAAAAGCATCAACCATGAGATGTCCAAAACTTGCAGTTCCCTTAAGTGGGGTGAAATTTGTAAAGAAATTCAAGTAAATAGGCCAATTGACTGATCTATCATAAACAATAAGTCATTGTAAATTATTTCAGACCCCAGACTGACATTCAAATTCAAATACATATATTAGGCAATACAATTTACACAGTACATAGTTTAAAGTATAACTTTTTCGAAGTGAGAGTGATGACAATAACAAAATGGTTATGCATCGCTTCTTAAAGATTGGGAAGCAGTACAGTTGTACAACTCTTTGGTGCTTTAAGCGACAACAACAACGATCCAACATCAGATAACAAATCCATATTTGCAGTGATCCAAAACCTGTTCAATAAAAATGATAATTTTGTTAGACAATTTTGAGTAAAAAACAGTTGAAAAATATACAAATCAATGGGTAACACCACATAAAATCAGGAGTGAATCTTGGCCATTTCTCGCCGACTTCAAATCCTCCAATTAAGATCATCATATTACTAATTGATCTGTTTTAGCTAGGAAGATGGTTATCATCACATAAGCGAAAATCAACAAACTTACAAGTGGCAAGGCAAAGTCAAGAAAATCAAATTTTGGAAAAATATCTTAAAAATTGAGGTAATATTGTTCACTACGGGTGTTGAATTTTATAAGTAAAAGGAGTCAAACAACAAGTAGCTCAAACTCAACTCACAAAAGGCTTGTCGTGGCATTTTTTGTGGTTAAAGCCTAGCACAAGCCGAATATCTGACTTCCTTAACAGTTGATCTGATATTCAGTAAGAGGAGGTTCGGCTCAGCAAAGCTTGACTAGGTAAATTTGAAATTATACACAACAATAAAAGAACAACAATACATCTACAGTGATCTCTACATAAAAAACACTAGTCAAAAAGACTGCAAGGTTTTACATCCCAAATCTGGTGTTAATCCAGTCTTTATGCCAATGATATTTTGATAAGTCACATGTGAAATAGTTAGTAAATTGTAATCAGGCACTTTCAAGATAAACCCCATCTTGCAATGTTACATTCTCAACCAGAGCTCAAGCATGGTCAATACTCAACTCAGTTTGCCTTATTTACCACCCCTTGAATGTACTATTTTTTTTTTTTTGCTGTGTTAAAAAGGTGACCGAGCAAAAGAATCTTTGTTTGTATCTCATAAAAATCCTAATGTCTACACTAAATGGCAAGGTATTTTAAGAGTTAACAGATTGTAGCTGAGTGTCTTGCGGAACATTATGAGATTGTGAGATACATTATGACCTGAATAGGTTGCCAGAAGATTATGTTCCCTGTTCTAAAGAAGGATGGGGTCAATAAATGTCATGTTTTGGAAAATGTAAAAAAGGTTGGGGCCAACTAGTCTTTCAACTTTCATCACCATGATGACCATTGAATGCAACATACTAGACAGTAATTATTCTTAGTCAAAGTAATTCTTTGCTAACCACAAATGATTGAATAGACAGTAAAAATCATCTTTTTTAAAACACTTTACATTGGAGGTGATTGTGTTAGCCTATTAGTTGTCTTTGTCTTCAAATTCCATTAGATCTTCATGGGATGTTCCTCTTCTGCATTCTTCACTTCAATTTCATATGCTCTTCTTTGCTTCACTTTTCTTTTCTTTTCTTTTTAGCTTTTTTTATGGAGTTGAATGTCCTTTTCCATCTCTGCTATATTTCTTCATGGGCTGCAAAATGGTCAACAACTCTTAATGTGGGATTCTCTAATGTGTTGAATCTTGCAATTGTGGTTTAAGTTAAACAATTGCTGAGCATTTTTTCTTGTCAATAACTTACTAATTTTATTAATAACATCAGAATGAAAGTTTAAATTTCAGGTTTATTGACGTAGTAACCTATTCTTGAGCTACCTCAGGATGTGTTTGGACAATTTAAGAAAAATATTAAAAAGAACAAGAAAATAAAAGAAAAGAGAGAAGGCATTGAGTTCTTATATTAAAATAATGGAACTATTAATAATCTTGCGCTTAAGAAAAAAATCGGGTTATATAATGTAATTCGGACCCGTAAGTAGGGAGTTAGAGCCAAATACGCGCTAAACTTACTCGAAATAGGGCATTTTGAGGGCGAAAATTCAAAACATCCCCCGAACCACCGTGTGGCTCTCACAGACAATTTTCCCATGACAAATAGGACTTGTGACAGCTGACGGATTGTAATTCGGACCGGTAGGTAGAGAGTTAGACCCAAATACGCCTTAAACTTACTCGAAAAACGGCGTTTCGCAGGCAAAAATTTAAAATAGCCCCCAAACCACCATGTGGCTCAGACAGACAGTTTTCCCAGGACAAATAGGACTTGTGAAAACTAACAGAATGTAATTCGGACCCGTAGGTCGAGAGTTAGAGCTGAATACGCCCTAAACTTACACAAAAAAAGGGCATTTCGGGGGTGAAAATTCATAACTGCCCTCGAACCACCATGTAGCTCACACGGACAGTTTCCCCATGACAAATAGGACTTGTGACAACTGATGGACTGTAATTTGGACCAGTAGATAGAGAGTTAGAGCTGAATATGCCCTAAACTTAGTCGAAAAAAAGCTTTCCGGTGGCGAAAATTCATAACAGCCTCCGAACCATCGTGTGACTCTCACAGACAACTTCTCGATGACAAATAGGACTTATGACAACTGACGGAATGTAATTCGGATCCGTAGGTAGAGAGAGTTAGAGCCGAATACGCCCTAAACTTAGTCGAAAAAGAGCTTTCCGAGGGTGAAAATTCATAACAGCCCCCGAACCACCGTGTGGCTCACACAAATAGTTTCTCCATGACAAATAGGACTTGTGACAATTGACGAAATGTAATTCAGACCTGTGACAATAGATGAAATGTAATTAGCACACGTAGTTTGGGCGTTAGAGCCGAAAATGCATTAAACTTAACTGAAAAAGCGCGTTATCAGATGCTCATGACTATAATTTGCCTAACTTGTATCCTAATGATCTTGTCAATTGCCTTGATGCAAGAACTCAAGTTTGATCAAGAAAATGATGTCCATTTCTTGGATGCATGGCCAAAGAGTGTTAACGTAGGCAATTTTGCTTTTATATCTGAGGTATTTGTATTTATTATTGTCATTTCGTACTGATCTAAAGATCCTCATGTTTTTCCTCTCCCTACTGATTTTTTTTGAGGTTTGTGATTAAGACTTTTCAAACTTCGAATGTGATATTTGGTGTGAGAAAAATGCTTCTATTACAATCAAAATAAATACGACTTATTGATCTTTATGTGTTATTTTTCTGTATTAATGTTGTTATTCATTATATTTGTTACTTCAGTAGATTAAAATTTGCATCATGCTATGCTTTTTCTTCATGCTAGATTTAGCTGGAGAGACTGCTATTTCGTTATCAGCAAACCATCTACAAAAGCTGCATTTATCATTTCAATTGACTACTCCACTTGGGCATCTATTTAAACCGCTTCACGTTTGTATTTTGATTTTGATTTGTCTCTTTAATAATGTTCCTTCTTATATCAAGGTTGTTGATAACTTTGTTTGCCTGCAGGCTTTTCTCAAGTTGAAACATGAGACCAAAGTTGATCACATCTTTGTCTTGGGGAACTCTGGTGAACAGTTTGAGATAACACTAGTAAGTTCCTCTGATTAATCAAATCTTAAATTTCATTTCCTCCTTGTTAGGATCTACAGAAGTTTATCAATTTAGCAACTCACAGATCTATAGAACTTTGTAACAAGACTTCAGCATAGGTTTATTGATATGTTGCAATGCAATCTAGTCTGATATACTAACCTTAAAAGAAAATTAATTATGAATTCAACAAGATATTTACCTGTTAGTGATGGTTAGATGTAGTAGTTTCCTTATATATGTGGCATTTGGTCTTGTAGGATTTTCTCAGACTGGTTGAGAAGTTTTTTCTATCTTTCCAATAGAATTATACAGAAAATATGAATAAAAGCTTTATGGCATATTGTGCACACCATTCTATTCTAGAAAATAAATGAAATTTGATAAGAAATAGGAATATTTTGTAATGTACTTGGATTTCAGGTTAAATTAAAGGAATTGGATACCTAGAGACAAACCTATGTAGCTTTCTTTATTAAAATTTATTTAAACAACGGCGTTAAGGAGGCGAAAATGTAAAACTGGCCCTAAACCACGATACGAATGTCACAACCAACTTCCTCACGACAAATAGGACCTATGACAATAGACGGAATGTAATTAGCACCTGTAGGTTGGGAGTTAGAGCCGAAAATGCTTTAAACTTAACTAAAAAAGGGCATTAAGGGGGAAAAAATTATAAACAGCCCCTGAACCACCGTGTGGCTCTCACGGATAGCTTCTCCATGAAAAATAGGACTTGTGACAATTGACGGAACGTAATTCGGACCCATAGGTAGAGAGTTAGAGCCGAATATGCCCTAAACTTAGTCAAAAAATGGCGTTTCGGGGGCGAAAATTCTAAATAGCCCCCGAACGACCATGTGACTATCATGGACAGTTTCCCCATGACAAATAAGACTTGTGACAATTGACGGAACGTAATTCAGACCCATAGGTAGAGAGTTAGAGCCGAATATGTCCTAAACTTAGTCGAAAAATGGCGTTTTGGGGGCGAAAATTCTAAACAGTACCTGAACAACCATGTGACTATCACAGATAGCTTCCCCATGATAAATAGGACTTGTGACAATTGACGGAACGTAATTCGGACCCATAGGTAGAGAGTTAGAGCCGAATATGTCCTAACCTTAGTCGAAAAAGGGCGTTTCGGGGGCAAAAATTCTAAACAGCCCCCGAATGATCGTGTGACTCTCACGGATAGCTTCCCCATGATAAATAATACTTGTGACAACTGACGGAACATAATTCAAACTCGTAAGTAACGAGTTAGAGCGGAATACGCCTTAAACTTACTCGAAAAAGAGTTTTCCGGGGAAAAAAGAGCTTTCCGAGGGAAAAAATTCAGAACAGCCCCCAAACGACCGTACACGGATAGCTTCTCCATGAAAAATAGGACTTGTGAGAACTGACGGAACGTAATTCAGACCCCTAGGTTGGGAGTTAGAGCCGAATACGCCCTAAACGTAGTCGGAAAAGGGCGTTTCGGGGTGAAAATTCAAAACAGCCCGAACAACCATGTGGCTCACATGGTTAGCTTTTCCATGACAAATCGGACTTGTGAGAATTGACGGAACGTAATTCGGACCCGAAGGTTGGAAGTTAGAGCCGAATACGCCCTAAACTTAGTTGAAAAAGGGCGTTTCGGGGGCGAAAATTCTAAACAGCGCCTGACCCACCGTGTGACTTACACGGACAATTCCCCCATGAAAAATAGGACTTATGACAATTGACGGAATGTAATCCGGACCCATAGGTTGGGAGTTAGAACCGAATACGCCCTAAACTTAGTCGAAAAATGGCGTTTCAGGGGCGAAAATTCAAAACAGCCCTCGAACGACTATGTGGCTCTCATGGATAGTTTCTCCATGACAAATAGGACTTGTGAGAACTGACGGAACGTAATTCAAACCCATAGGTAGAGAGTTAGAGCCGAATACGCCTTAAACTTTCTCAAAAAAGAGCTTTTCAAGGCCAAAAATTCAAAACAGCCTCCGAACGACCGTGTGACTCTCACGGATATCTTCCCCATGACAAATAGGACTTGTGAGAACTGATGGAATGTAACTCGGACCCGTAGGTTGGAGGTTAGAGTCGAATGCGCCTTAAACTTATAGAAAAAGGGCCTTTCGGGGGCGAAAATTAAAAACAGCCCCTGAACCACCGTGTGGCTCACACGGACAGTTCCCTCATGACAAATAGGACTTGTAACAACTGACGGAATGTAATTCGAACTCGTAGGTTGGGAGTTAGAGCCGAATATGCCCTAAACTTAGTCGAAAAAGGGCGTTTCGGGGGTGAAAATTCAAAACAGCCCTCGAACAATCGTGTGGCTTAGACGAATAGCTTTGCCATGACAAATAGGACTTGTAAAAATTGATGGAACGTAATTTGAACCCGTAGGTTGGGAGTTATAGCCGAATACGCCCTAAACTTAGTCGTAAAAGGGCATTTTGGGGGCGAAAATTCAAAACAGCCCTCGAACCACAATGTGACTCACACGGACAATTCCCCCATGACAAATAGGCCCTGACAGAATGTAATTTGGACCCGTAAGTTGGGAGTTAGAGCCGAATATGCCCTGAACTTAGTCAAAAAGGGGTGTTTCGGGGGCGAAAATTCAAAATAGCCCCTGAACGACTGTATGGCTCACACCGATAGCTTCGCCATGAAAACTAGGACTTGTGAGAACTGACAGAACGTAATTTGGACCCGTAAGTTGGGAGTTAGAGCCGAATACACCCTAAACTTAGTCAAAAAAGGGCGTTTCAGGGGCGAAAATTCTAAACAGCCCCCAACCACTGTGTGACTCACACGAATAGTTTCCCCATGACAAATAGGACTTGTAACAACTGACGGAATGTAATCCGGACCCATAGGTTGAGAGTTAGAGCCGAATACGCCCTAAACGTAGTCGAAAAAGGTCATTTCAGGGCAAAAATTCAAAACAGCTCCCGAATGACCGTGTGGCTCACATGGATAGCTTCTTTATGACAAATAGGACTTGTGAGAACTAACGGAATGTAATTCGAACCCGTAGGTTGGGAGTTAGAGCCGAATATGCCTAAACTTACTCGAAAAAGAGTTTCCGGGGGCGAAAATTCATAACAACCCCTGAATACGCCTTACACTTAGTCGAAAAACTCGCAACACTTAGTTTAAAAAGCGACAACTTTATGAAAATAACATCTACATATTCTAATGATTGCCTTTATATATTTATAGGATGAAGAAATTACATATTACATTATTTGTGCAGTTGGTTGGAATAAATATTGCATGATACATATATATATATATACTTTCTTTGATTTCCAAGAAGACATTTCTCGCGATTGTTCTACCTTAAATGCATGCTAGAACATGTTCCATATGGCTGACTGAATTCATATTTTGTAACCAATTCTAATGTTTCATTTTTTTGTTTTTCTTTATAGATGGCTTTGTTGCATGGACTTGCGGATAATCCATATTGGTGTATGGAGAAGAATTTTAACTTTTGTGTAGAACTAATATAATACTTTTGTCGTCCTCAGCTTTTGTGTAGTTCATTATTACTGATACAGAAAACTTTTGACAATCAACAGATAATGACTGTCGTGCTACATAGATCACCTTCTGTCGTGGTACATATATACCATTTGTCGGCGTACATATAGGACGTTTTGTCATGGTCTATAGAAAACTTTTGTCGTGGTACATATATCACCTTTTGTCATCGTACAGATTACGATGGTAATTTGTACCATGCCAAATGGTAATTTCACTTGGTAGTAAATGTATTTTTTGTATACGGAAGGCTTTGATTTTTGTATGATATATTTTGTATGGAATTAATATTTTAGTTTGGACAATAGTTGATTTGTATGGACCTTGACATTTAAAGTTATTTATTTTTGGTATATGGATGTAGATTGTGGAATGATTGATAGTATGTATCATTTTGTTTATATACGTATTACAGTTTGCATTGAATATAGACAGGTTATGGAGAAATTATAATTTTGCGATAAAACGTAATATCATGTTTTTGGCGACTAAACAATTTGTAGCTAAAAAGAAATTGGGAAAAGACATTTGGCGACTAAAAGTTTTGTAGCAAAAAAAAAAAAAGGCATTTGACGACTAAAAGTTTAGTAGCCAAAAGAAAATCAAACATTTGGTAACTAAAATATTTTGTAACTAAAAACAAAAAACAAAAAACTAAAGGATAAAACACTTTTACCGACTAAAATTTTAGTAGCAAAAAATGTAGAACTTTAGACGGCCAAATATTTAGTAGCCAAAAGAGGAACTCTTTGCCAACTAAAAATTTAGAAGCCAAAGATGTGAGACTTTCGGCGACTAAATTTTTAGGAGCCAAAAGAAGAACTCTTTGCCGACTAAAATTTTAGTAGCTAAAAATGTGGGACTTTAGGCGACTAAAAGTTTGGTCGCTGAAAAGGGTCTAATTTAATTTAATGTCCAACCTTTTGGCGATAAAAATTTTAGTCGGGAATTGTATACATTGAGCGACTTTAGTCGCTAATTACCTTTATCGATAATTTTTTGGCGACTACTTTTGCGACCAAATAATTTAGTTGCTAAAACCATTGGGTGACTAAAAATTTAGTCGCCAAAAGTGAAAATTCTTGCAGTGTCCCATGACTAAACAAACATAAGATACAAATCCAGTCCAACCAAATAGTCCGGGGACAATGTATCCCAGAACTAACAGTCCGATGGGTTACAATCCCCCCTTATCTAGTCCATCCAAACAAACACGCTCATAATTCGTAAAAATATCATATTGATCTTTCATCAAGTGCAAGTATATTTTTAAAAACTTACCATTTAATTTTTTAAGAAAAATATGATTAAATTATGTAATTATAATTATTGAATTAATTTATTTTTTTATAAATAATTTCTCTATAAAAATATAATAATTTAATAGATCAAATAATTAAACTAAGGCTTGTAGTAGACCCATAAATCCGATCTGTACCCATCTAGTATGATGTGCAAGTGGTGGCATTTATAGATTTGATTATCACAAATATCATAATTCAATTCCATGAAAGTCATAATTAGAAAATAAAAATAAAAATAAAATAAGTATTAACCAAACATCAATTAATGTATAGCCAAAAAACTCTTGAATTATAAGTAAAATACTATCATAACTAATATCACAATGAGTCATAACTAATACCACAATGAGTCATAACTAATACCACAATGAGTCATAACCATAGATCCCAAAGGTCATAACCAAAGGTGCATAGAATTTCCCATTTAAAAGTTTGGGTTGGACAATTGAAAAAAAAATATATATATACATATATATATATAGTCTCTTCGGTACACACTAGCACGTTTGGTATGATGAAATGGATTGAAATGGAATACGCAGCTTTGCATTCCCTTTCCCTTGTTTGGTACGCCTTATCTAAGTGGGAATATTTATTCTAACAGAATTTTGTTGTTCTAACAAAATATGAGAATGCATATTCCTTCTTTCAACTTAAAGAATGATCATTCCATTACATCATGGAATCATCATAAAATTTTATTATTTTTTTGGTACTTAAAAAATATATAATATCATATAGAAATCGCCACCATTCCATTTTGCAATCACCCATTGCACCACTCTACTACCATCACCCTATTGCCACCATAACCACAAACATCGTCGTCACCACCATCACAAGCACAACTACCACCTCACCACCACTACTACCACCATGCTACTACAACTACTATCACCACAACCGATGTCGCCACTTCCACTACCACTACCACAATTTATGCTATCACTTCCACAACTATCAACACTATCATGATCTATATAAGTTTTTAATTTATTAGTTACTAGCTTGTTAAAAAAATAAATAAATAATAAAAACTTATTCCATTTCATTAGTTTAATAGGCATAGCCAAACGTGATAATGAGAATTATTATCATATTCCTATGTTATTCCATGTTGGCAACCAAACAATAGAATAGGAATGGACATTCCATTCCATTCAACCTTGTATTCCATTTTTATTTCACTCTAATTCCATGCACACTTCATTTCATTCCATCATACCAAACGTGAAAGGGTTTAATGAAAATGGAATATAAGGTTGACTGGAGAATGTTCATTCTCATTCCATTATTTGGTTGCCAATATGAAACAACAAAGAAATCAAATGATACATCTCATTCTCATTTTAGTTATGCCTATAAACTAATAGAATGAAGAAAAATTTTCTTTTTTCTTTTTTTAACAACCTAGTAATAAAACAATTTAAAAATTCATATAGATTACGATAGCGTTGATTGTTGTGAAAGTAATCATACCAAACGTGAAAGGGTTTAATGAAAATGGAATATAAGGTTGACTGGAGAATGTTCATTCTCATTCCATTATTTGGTTGCCAATATGAAACAACAAAGAAATCAAATGATACATCTCATTCTCATTTTAGTTATGCCTATAAACTAATAGAATGAAGTAAAATTTTCTTTTTTCTTTTTTTAACAACCTAGTAATAAAACAATTTAAAAATTCATATAGATTACGATAGTGTTGATTGTTGTGAAAGTAATGGTGTGAATCATGAAAGTGGTGGTGGTAGTGGTGGCGACAGGGATATCAATGGTGCTAATAGCAGTGGTAGTAAGATGGTAGTGGTGGTGGTGGTGGTAGGTCATTGTGGCATTTGTGATGTCCTAGGTCATTGACCCGACTTGTTGTGCCTATTCGAAGCCTTGTACATATCACACCCCAAACCACGTACACAACCGGTCATGGCCCATAGGGCCTTAGCCTAATGCACACGTAAGCCTACAAATGAATCCCTAATAACATAGAATAAATTAACAATAGTCCAAAAATAAATAAATCAAAATTCAATCCACTGAGATGTCACAAGTATGACCGGCTGGCTAAAAACCTGGGCTAAATTTCTCTATCATGTTCATTTTCTCTGGTTGTCACACACTTACTTAGTACTCTCTTGTGCATTTGAATTTCACGGCTAAAAGCCAAGGCTAAAATTCTCTATCATTTTCATTTTCTCTGACCATCACACACTTAGTACTTTCTTGTGCATTTGAATTTCATTGGCCACATTACAACCCTCTTGAGTTATGGAATTTATTTAAGTTTGTGTTTGTTTATGTGTGTATGGAATTTCACTAGCCACTTGCCCTTGAGATATAGAATTTCTCAAGCCACCACACACTTACTTAGTACTCTATTGTGTGTGTGGAATTTAGAAAAATTTAGAAATCACATAAAAACACATAAGAAATACAGATAACTTCGAAATCAAAATTGTCCAGATCACAAAATAACATGTCTAGAGAAAATTACACAACAGAGAAATTTATAAACTTAACAAATAAAATATCTAACAGAGAAATTTCTCTTTATTAAAATAACTACAACTAAACAACTTGTTTAATTCACAACATATAATTTAGAGAAATTTATAAAATCATACACATATTACAAACTAACCTTATAAATGTAAATTAACTTTGAAAATCACAAAAACAAAATAAAAACATATTCAAATAAAAAAACATAGAGAAATCTAACCCACAAATTGCAATTAATTTTCTCAATCCATAAATATAATCCAAAGAAATTTACAAATCATAAACATATCCAAAGAAAATTACATCACTGCTCCAATTCACAAATAACATGTCTAGAGAAATTTAAAAAGGATAAAAAATGAGATGAATTATCACAGAGAAATTTCAAAAAATAAAGAATAAACAATTTGTTTCCTAGTGATTTGATCTGTCAACAAAATTCATATACTACCAAACCCACCACCTTTTCTTCTTATTCCTATATCTCTCTCTCTCTCTCTCTCTAAAAACTACCAAAATCACCACCTCTAAACCATTCTCTCTCTATAAACTACCAACCCATCACCGGCTCCACTCTCCAGTGACTATCATTAACACGACCACCCTCCACCGCCCCCGTCGCCTCGCCTTTCCTTACCTTGCTTCCCCTCATTGTTGCTGCCGCTATCACCATTGCCTTCGCTTCATCTCTCTAAACAAAAAAGAAAAATGAGAAAGATAGAGAGGTAGGTGTAGGTCTGGGTGTGAGTGTGGGTGTGGGTGAGTTAAGTTAGTTTTGTAATGAGAAAATCTAAACTAACAAAAAAAAAAAAAATCATATTGGATCTCTCCTACTACCCAAAGTTAGATAGAAATGTTTCACTAATTTCTCCCATTTCTAAATTACAAATTATCATAACTAAATAAAAAAAATACATAATATTTGCCACCAAAATACGTAATAAAGATGCATATGTAAACCCACCATGTATACCATTCACCATGATTAATGCATATCAAATCTCTAACAGTCAACTAACCTTTTTGGCACCATGTAATAAAAAGTTTTGGCCTTCCATAGTTAAAATAAAAATTAAAAAAAAAAAGAAGCCAACTTATTAGGAATATTGTTAAAGAATAATGTTAGTTTACCCTAAAAATTAGATTTATTTTTTAAACTCAATAATGTGATAATATATTACAATATCTAAGATAATTATTTTTCTCACGTCTTCTATTTCAACCACCA